CTCACATTTATCAGGATTAAATTCCATCTGCCACTGATCTCTCAATCTGACCAATCTGTTTCTATCCTCCTGTAATCTAACACCTTCCCACTCACTATCAACCACTCGGCCAATCCTTGTATCATCCACAAACTTACTTATCACCCCCTTCACATTCTCATCTCCATCGTTAATGAATATCACAAACAATAAGGGACCCAGCACTGATCCCTATGGCACCCCACTGCACACCAGGCTCTAGTCACACAAACGGCCTTCTGTCACCGGTTTATGGTTCCCTGGTCTATCGCTCCCATCCTTCTTGTAAAGTGGAACCGCATTGGCTGTTCTCCCAGTCCTCTGGCACCTCCTTGTGGCCAGTGATGATAGAAACAGCTCAGGGACCCTATCATTCCCTCCCTTGGCTCTCACAGCAGCCTGGGATACATTCCCCATCTGCACCTAGGGATCTGTCCAGTTTTAAATCCAACAAAACCTCCAATACCTCCTCACTCCCTATGTCAGTCTGCTCAAGAACTTCACAGTCCATCTTCTAGATATTTGTACCTGCATCTTCCTCCTCCTGAGTAAAGACAGATGTGAAATAATCACTGAGCACCCTCCCAGTGTCGCTCAGCTTCCCATACAGATTGTCTAATGGACCCTAATGGATCTTGCTGTTTCCCTGTGGTTCTCCACATTTAATGAACAGATAAGTTGGAAAAATGAATGTTCTCCAAGGTATTCCCTGGGATGAAGGCTCTCTCCTCCAATGAGAGACTGTTAAAGTGGGTCGATGTTCTCTGGAGTTTACAACAGGAACTGATCTCTTTGACACCCGCAGACAGCGAAGGGGCCTGATGGGGTAGACAGTTGAGACTGTTTCCCTTGGTTGGGGAATCTTAAAACACAGCCCATGGAGTTGGGATAAGTGTCTGGACCTTTCAGACTGAGATGAGGAGAGATTCCTTCACCCAGAGGGTGTGAATCTTTGGAATTTTCTGACCCGGGGGGTGGGGTGATGGAGTCTGTATTGTTGAATATAAAATGAACACAGGGATCAACTGATTTTTGATTTCTTGGGGAATCTAGCGAGACTTAGAGATCATACTGGAAAGTAGAGTTGAAGCCCAAGATCAGCTGTGATCTTATTGAATAGGGAGCTGGGGGATACTGAAGGGGCCAAATGGCCCACTCCTGCTCCTAGAGTAAACAGTCTTACCCAGGTCTCCTGGCCCTGACCCGCAGCCCTGATTCAAAAATGGCCCTTGTCTGTCTTCAGGTTTGATTGAGAAATAGGAAGAAGCATGTGGAATTTGTGATCATAACAAGGGCAGTCTATCTGTAAAGACACAGAGTACCTGATGAAGTCTTCCACATATGGCAAGCAGTCCTGCTGGACCAGGATTTGGATTCCACTGGTTTTGTTCTCACTGATGAGGTTTCCATCTGTGCTGAGGGATAGGATTAATCTGTGTGCACACAGGTGGAGTTTAACAGGTCCTCGCCTTGCTGTTAGCACCAGGATCTTCACCTGACAGTGTTTCTGGCTGAGGTACAACCTATTCAGAGACTCATGCAGCTCCGCAATCTGCTCAAACCTGTAACTGGGCATATCTCCAGCCTGTCCTGTAAAAGCAGGAGGCAATCATTATTACCACATTGGGAGCTGCAGCTCTGAAGAAAGAAGCCTCATCACGCAAGAGCTTTGAAGAGTCAGAGAGGACCAAGGTCATAGAGGTGACAGAGTGGTTGCAGACCACCCTGGGAGAAGGTGAACAGTTAGAGATAGGAGCCCACATTGGCTCAGTAAGGAGGAGAATGGGGTCCTGCATTCAGAATTCAGGGAGCTGAGTACAAAGTTAGTAGGCAGGACCAAAAATGTAGCTATCTCCAGATTAATGCTGTGGATAAACATAGCAAAAACAGAAAATGCTAGAAAAGCTCAGCAGGTCTGGCAGCACCAGCACAGAGAAATCAGAATTAATGTTTCAGGTCCAGTGAGCCTGTCTCAGAACACGTTCTAAACCCTGGACCAATTACTCTCCACAAACCTATCATTATCCATCTTGAATCTGCTTGAAGATTGAGTTCCTCACAGCCTGTGGGGGTAGAAAATTCCAAACATTCACTATTCCAACCCCACCTCTACAGATTGAAGAAATTCCTCCTCAGCTCAGTCTGAAATGTCCCACCTGTTACTCTGAGATCATGGCCCTGGTTCCAGACTCATCAACAACAGGAAACATCCTGTCTCCTTCCATCTTGTCATATGCTCAAGAGTTTCAATGTGATCACTCATCACTCTTCACAGTTCTAGGGACGTTTGGCCCAATTTCTTTTAATTCATTTGTGGGATGTGGGCGTCGCTGGCTAGGCCAGCATTTCTTGCCCATCCCTAGTTGCCCCTTGAGAAGGTGGGGGTGAGCTGCCTTCTTGAACCGCTGCAGTCCATGTACTGTAGGTTGACCCACAATGCCCTTAAGAATGGAATTCCAAGATTTTGACCCAGCAACAGTGAAGTTTCATCAGTCTCTGCTCTTACAAGAATTTGGCCATCCCAGAGATGAATCAGTTGAAGCGTTGTTGCTCTCCCTCTCTCGCTCTCTCTCTCTCTCTCTCATTCTCTCTCTCCACGTAAGTATCAAGAGCTAAACCTGCAGACAGACCTCTCGGTGTGGTCTCACCGAGGCTCAATACAAATGCAGCAAGACATCTTCACTCCCAAAATTGAATCCCCTTGTGATGAAGGTTCACAAACCATTTGCCTCTCAAACTGCTTGCTGCAACTATGGGCAGTGACTGATTAACAAGGTTATGCTTTGGACACTTGCCCTCCCCAACCCCACAACATTTCAGAAATATTCTGCCTATTTATATCATATTTCATCTGCTGATCTCTTCCAGGGCAGGTGGGAGCTGTACAAGAAGAACGGGTTGCATCTAAACTGGAAGGGCACAAATATTCTGGCTGGGAGGTTTGCTGGTGTCGGGAGGATTTAAACGAGCTTGGCAGGAGGGTGGAAACCAAAGCAAAGGTGAACGGACTGAAAGGGAGCTAGAGAATAGGGGCAATAAGACTCAGAGAAAGAGCAGGCAGGGTGTGGTTGCTTATCGAAGTGGGTCTGGTGGACTGAAGTGCATCTGTTTCAATGCAAGAAATGTAACAGGTAAGGCAGATGAACTTAGAGCTTGGATTAGTACTTGGAACTATGATGTTGTTGCTATTACAGAGACTTGGTTAAGGGAGGGACAGGATTGGCAGCTTAATGTT